TTTTTTTTTGAACTGATTCATATCACAACATTTTATTTTTCTTGGCAGAGCATTCATAACCTTACAAATTACGTACGAGAATGAACTTTTGAATAGGGATGTTTTGTGTTTAGGTATCGTGAGAAAGTCTTTGTGGCGGATGTTAATGCTATGTACGTCTGCACGTAGTTTTAGTTTACGGTATAAGTATATCGGTGTTTTAAGTTTAATGACATTATGAAACAAACAACTACCATGAAAGAATCTCCGTTTTTTGATGCTCAACCACTTCAGGTCAGCAAGTTTGTGTGAAATATGTGAACGTCTTCTCATATTGAAAATTAATCTGAGGCAAAAGTTCTGGATCTTTTGTAATCGGTTTTCACTCTGTTTTGTTAAACATGGCCCGTAGATGATATCGGCGAAATTAAGGTGTGATAATACAAGGGATTCGCATAAAGTTGTTTTAGTTTGTAAGTTGAGTAATTTTCTGTTCGCAAAAATGAGCTTTAGGCTTCCATAAGCTCTTTGAATTATACTATTTACGTGCATATCGAATCTCAAGTTAGTGTCAAGAAGAAGTCCAAGATTTTTTGCAATTGTGGTCGTAGGTATAATATTGTTATTTATGTGTATTTTCAATTTATGATTACACCGATCCCTCATAACTTTGGGGCCGAATAACATTACTTGGGACTTACTTGGATTGAGAGACAGGCAGTATTGAGTTGACATTTTAGAGAGGGCTTCAAGTTCAGAGTTGATGATTTCATTTGCTAGCTCAATGCTTGATTCATCAAAGGACATATATATCTGTGTGTCGTCAGCATAAAAGTGACTTTTACAAAGGCTCAGGCTATCTCGGAAGGAAGATGTGTATATGGTGAATAGTAACGGCCCTAGGATAGATCCCTGAGGCACACCACAAGTAATATTGAGTTTTGTCGACTTTTTGTTTTTATACTTAACAATTTGTGATCTATTGGTCAAGTAACTTCCCATCAGAGATATGGCAGATTCGTCGAAACCAATATAATGGAGTCTGGCTAGCAAAATACGATGATTTATTAGATCAAATGCTTTGGAATAATCTAAAAGTACTAGCGTAGTAAGTTGATTTTTGTCAGTGGCGGAGAGAATATCATCAACAACGGTGAGCAGAGCTGTAGTACAGCTATGTTTCTGTCTAAATCCTGATTGGTTATCAGGGAGTAGGTTGTTATTATTCAAGTGCACCTTGATTTGTTCATGTAATACTTTTTCGTGAACTTTAGAGAGGGAACACAAAATACTGATGGGGCGGAGCTGAGAAAGTTCAGTTGGGGTTTTGATTTTTGGCAAAGGTAATACATATGAAGTTTTCCACTGCTGAGGAAATATCCCTTTTTTTATGGAGAAATTAATGATGTGAGTGATGTGAGAAATTATATGAGGACAACAATGAAGTAGCATATTGAGGCTGATTTCATCAACACCAATTGCATTCGATTTTAATGACAAAAGTGCTCTATAAATCGTATTTTCATCGGCAATGTTGAAGCTGAAATTCGTAACATTCAATTTTCGAGTGTTTTCTAGGAGATTAATCAATTCTTCATCTGGAGGAGACTGCGATTGACTTACAAAATGGTCGTTAATTTTATTCACATCTGCCAGATTTGCAGGAAGATCTGCACTGCACTTTTTTGAATAAATATTAAGATTATTCAGTTCACGATAGAGATGTTTAGTGTTTTTGTTTTTATTGAGTGAATAGTTGAGATAAGCTCTCTTCTCGTTACGAATTGATGTATTAGTAAAATTTCTTAATTCCTTATAATAATCCCAGTGAACCGTGTTTTTGGTTCTTCTGTATCTTTGAAGAGCTTTGTCTCTGAGTTTCATGAGAAGTTTGACATTATTAGTTATCCATGGGTTGTATTTCTTATATCGATTCAACGTGATTTGGGTCACAGGTGCATGATTGTCGAATAATTCAATTAAAACTTCATTGAAGCAAGTAAGTTTGGATTCCAAATCATCAACGTTATAAATATTATCGATAATGCACCTGCACATTCAAGAATAGAAGAGATATGCATGGAGGAAGAATTTCAAGATGTTATATTTTACAGATTGGCACCTTACAGCCCTATGTTTAATCCGATTGAACATATATGGAGTGCCTTCAAGTCAGAAGTGAAGAGCTTTTTGCAAGAGCATCGCAAGGGTCATAGCTGGGGATCCGAACAGATTGCTCAACCAGATAGAATGTCTTGAAGAATGTGCAGATTATTCAATGAAAATGATAACAACTCAAATGTGTTTGCATTCTTATAATCATGTGTAACGCTACTATCCTTCCGCGATTCGGATGGAAGACATCTGTGGATCAAATTGAGATTATAATTATGTTATTGAATTGTTTTTGAAGAGTTGAATATTCTGAATATGGTTTGTTAATCTCTCATGCAATTGGAAACATTTCAATCAAATATAAGGATTTATTTTCTGAAATTAAACCTACCAATTCTGAAATACAACTTACCATTTCTGAAATTGAATGGACTTTCTCTCACCGATTCTGAAATTGAGTTTACCATTTCTGAAATCAAACTAACCAATTCTGAAATCGAACTAACCAGTTCTGAAATCGAGATTACATTTTCCGAAATATAACTTACCAATTCCGAAATTGACGTTGAAAAGGTATAGTAATTAATAAAATTACGAAAACTACCTTGGTAGTAAAAACACACTTTACGCCTCGAAAAAAAGTAAATAATGATAGGTTTTATAGCTAATGGTGGAAAAAGAAATATATCTATACCGTAACATCTTCAATTTAATCCGCATCATTTCAATTCAATTCAGCTGTTGGCTCTACCATTTTCTATTTACTCACGGTAATCTTCTGCAATGTAAGTAAACAATCTAGATAAGACGTGGACAATTTTGCCCTGGAATAAATCCGGATCGAAAAAGTTACTTGTGTAAGCAGCAACCAAATTGAAATCCAGAATTCAATTTCCATCTGGGATTCCTTTAATATAGTCACGAGTAGAGAAACGAAAAGGAGAACGACGAGAAGGGATGAAGGAAAATACCTAATGTGAAACGGTCAACATTTTGTATGATATTGAATTGGGAAAATGGGAAATGCTGATATTGAGAATGATGAATCTCAATATCGAACTGATGTATTCAAAATATGCCATGGAAACAATATATCAAAAAAAAGTTCTGTAAGACAGAATTTCGTCTTGAATTATTTTTTTCATTCTGCATTATATACAGGTTGCTCCATGATAATCGTATGATGCTAGATTCAACGATCGAAAATGATTATGCTTTCAATTTCATCACTGTTCATCGAAAATCATGAAATCATTTAAGAGAAAGAAACGAAGGACTCCCATTCGACTCCAATGAAATGATTATACTTCTGTTTCATGTCGTGAGGGTTCTGACATAGCATCAATAAAAAAATAGTGGAAATGTTTTACTGGTCTTATTTGATGACAGCTCTGTATTGAATCAACAGAGACTTCAAACGACTAGAGCAATTTTGAAGCTCATCGAATTGGTGAAATACTAGAACTGACCGATACTTTATTGAAAATAAATAGAGTAGACGTCGTATCCCGGAGTTTCAATGGACTTCGAAGCAAAGGAAAACATTGTAAGAAATGCGATTTGCCAAGTAAAAGGAATTCCGAGATATTTTACGTGTTACAGCGTGGACAATCAAACTGCAAAGATATCATCTGACCAGATTGCCGAGAATTATACATAGCAGGATTATTATGACTTCTAAAGTGCCAAAGATGAAGTTGTCCTGGAGGTTCTCAAAAAGAATCAACAATTACCCAAGGATATCTTGGTCCCTGGGTAATGATAATATTCTTCACTGCCTTGATGTAAAAATGATTGTTATCAATTCCTTGAGGAACCATAATAATGATGGAAAGAACTGAACAACATCAGACGGTGACTTAGCAAAACGACCTGCAATCTTACCAAAACACACACAGGTTGACGCTCTCATTCCTCAAATATATTGATGAGAAATATGTATAGTGAGATGCAAATAAAATATCACACTTTTAGTCACTTCTGCAATGATAGTGCTGACACCATCCAATCGCGACATGCCGAGAGGCCAACGTCGTCGATTGCGAACATGAAAACCTATAGTACTTCGTATGGGACAATTTCCGACATATAGACTAACACCGAACATGAGACCTTTTAGCGGGAACGTGTTATTTTTATTTCTTATTTTTGACAAATAGAAGTAACCTATACACTAACAGCAGATTCACCAACAGAAACAGAGAAATAGGCTGGGATTTATTACCTCACGAAAGAGGTAATTGGTGGAGATATCGCTCAATGCAATTCTAAGAAATTTATTGCTATTGATTTTGAGGCTCTGACGCTTAATGATTTATCAATTTGATCAACTAATAGTCTTCGTGGCTCGGAAGCAACAGATGGCCAGCATGATCTGAAAAAATGAAGGACGGTGGCCAAGCTATATTACTACCCAATATCAAATGAGGATATTGAAGAATATAGTTGGATATTGTACATTTTGGAGATCAATTACTGAGCTTTCTTCATCAGAAATTGCACTCTGGAGAAGTATTTCCAATACTTAGTTTCTCTATACTCCAAAATCATTCATGTCCTTCTGAGCAATAGCTTATTGAATCATTCTGGGAAGAAATTAGGTGCTAGATCTATATTAATTATTCATTTTGATAATTTCAATCTCCTGTCACTTCTGCATGAATAATTCGATGGATAAATATAACATCATAATGAGTATACACAATCATCTCTGAAACAGTATACCAGCAATAAATATTCAATAATAGGGACAGTTCATTATTCTAGACATCAAATGAGATAGATAGTTGATGGATAGTTTGAAAATAGTGAAGAAATGACTATTTTTAATGAGGATGCTCCTGAAGTTCGAAAATAAATTGTGGAGGGGTCAATAGAATAAAAAGAACCAAAGTTCTTCAAACGGCATACTGTGGTTGGTGGTAGCTAAACACCAAGGTAAGAATACTAGGTGAATATGTGATCAAATAGAGAAAATACTCTTCAATATGTGGACGTTATTTTCTCATCATTCAAATTTTTGCACTAGTTATACATATTTTTTCTTCCCAAAGTTCTCATCATTTGAAATTTCTTTTCATATGAGTACAAGATGCTAATTTTTCCGACAAAGAGTGGTACCTATACAAACAATGCTTATTGATACACTGAATTGAAAACGTCTGAAGCTCTTTGCGATGATAAAATAGCTGATTTGGAAATCCTCCATTTTTTCCAGGTCAACCATAGAGCAGACAAATGGCCAACTTATCTGATAAGATTTATGCAGCTAGCATAGCATTTCTGCTGTGCTTAGCAGCCGTCAGGTCACAAGATTCAGATCTCATCAATTATTTCACAAATCTCATCGCTGAAGGTCAATCTGCGGCACTGAGTAATCAACTGCCCACAGATGCAAGCATGTACAAACCGACTGATGATTCTGTCACAGGTAGAGTATCTCAAGTTATAATATCAAATATACCATCCCTTCTAACTTTTTGTTTTGTTGCTATAACCAATGGTTTCGACCAAGCGAAAATATCGAAAATTGATTTTCAGATTATGGCACCTTCGATTTCGTGATAGTTGGAGGAGGAGTAGGTGGATCAGTTGTAGCAAGAAGACTGTCAGATATGGAAAATCAAAAAGTTCTGCTTCTAGAAGCAGGAACTTTCGCAGACGATGATTTCTACCGAATTCCATCCATGACAGCATATTTAGCATTCTCTGAGGTTCAATGGGGATTCAGGAGTATCCCACAAAAAACAGCTTGCTTAGGTGAGTAACCAATCATATATAGTGTCCATCAAATTACATACACTTGCATACAAACGTAAGAGCTTGTAATGATACCTTGCTAAATATTCCAGGAATAATAAATCAAAGATGTTCAGCATACCGTGGCAAAGGAATGGGAGGCACTTCAATATTGAATGGTGGAATCTACCAACGTGGTGTTCCTGAAGGATTTGATGAATATGCCGAGATCACCAAGGACCCAAGCTGGGCTTACAAAAACCTACTTCCGCTTTTCAAGAAGTCTGAAGATTTCCACCACAATGACCCAGACGCTCCAGTTGATTTGGAATATCACGGAACGGGAGGACCATTGTATGTTCAATACGTGACGCCACAGAATCCAATCACCACGACATTTTTGCAAGCCAACAGGGAAGTCGGTAATAAGGTGGTGGACTATAACGGCCCTAGTCAAGAAGGAGCCACAGTGTTCCAACTGTACCTGAAGAATGGACAGAGGCAAAACATAAGTTCTGCTTTCCTGGACCCGGTCATGGATAGAAAGAATCTCGAGGTATTGACTGAGAGTTACGTCACCAAAATCAACATCGATAAGAACAATAAGAAGGCAATTGGGGTCACCTTCACTCATCACGGCAAAACTTACACCGTTAATGCTGACAAAGAAGTTATACTTTCTGCGGGTGTTTATCAAACTCCACAGATTCTTCTCCTTTCTGGAGTAGGACCAAAAGAGCATTTGGAAGAAGTTGGAATTGAAGTCATCGAAGATTTGGAAGGTGTAGGCAGCTCTTTGCAGGACGATCCCATCAATCAAGTGATCGTCTTCAGATCTAATTACAGCGCTCCATCTGGAACCCTGCAAGAACAGCTCGCAGATTATCTAGAGGGCCGTGGACCATTAACGCAGGTGCTGTCAGCACAGGGTGTTTCCTTTTTGCGGTCGAAATACGAGAAGAAGCTTATTGATTTGGAATTGATAAGTGCGGCAGCTGGAGCTTCAGAATTTGGTAGGAGATACACTGACATGAGATCAGAAACTTACCATGCACTGTGGGGAAATACGACTAGAGGTCTTGCCATCAATATCGCTAATGTCAACCCAGTTTCTAAGGGTACAGTTAGGCTGAAGAGCAGCAGTCCCTTCGACTACCCACTGATTGATTTCAATATGTTGAGCGATCCAGAGGACAAGGATATTGCTGTTATGTATGAAGGTGTCAAGATGGTGATGGACCTGATGAAGACCCCAGCTTATCAGAGGTATGGTGCAGAGTTCATCGCCAATCCCATTCCCGAGTGTACTAAACACGAATTGTGGTCGAGAGATTACTGGTATTGTTTCTTGAGGTATACGAGTACAGCAGCTTATCATACAAGAGGGTCATGTCCAATGGGCGCTGATCCTAAGAAAGGCGCAGTCGTCGATCATAAATTGAGAGTGTTTGGCATCAAGAACCTGCGTGTCATCGATACCAGTGTTCTTCCCGTCACTATGTCTGGACATCCCACTGGAACTTGTTTGCTTATTGCAGAGAAGGCCTCTGAAGATATCAAAGCTGACCATAAATAATATTGTGATGCTTAGACATTTATAAACCATGCTATGTCTATTGACTTGATTATTATAGTTGATCATTTATTTAATGGTAATAAAGCCCATCCAAAATCGACATTTTTATCATTCTATGAATTATTTATCATATACCTACTCAGTATGAACATACATGTTATGAAGACTTTTGACAATAATCAATTAATGTGAATCGAAGTAATCAAAAATGCCTCATATTTACATGGTTTTCAAAAATATTCATTTTGATTTCAAGACTGCCTTGAGGAAGACAAACACCAAAAATGCAAGAGTATTTCAATTAGGAGCATACGAAATGCCATCATTGGTGGACTTGAATCGTGATATGTAGTTCAGCTGACTTCTTATAGTATACCTATCTTCCAGATATTCTATACATATGTTACAACTGGATATATTTCTCTCGATGGTGATCGTTACAATCTCCTGGAACATAGTCAGAAATCAGATAATGGTCTATATTTGAGATATGTTTCATCAGTCAAAGATCAAACAAAAGTCTTACAAGATGAAGTGCATCTATTGAGTTTGGGATGAAACTTTCCTATGATATTTTTGATGAAAATCATATATACAAGGGCGATTCTTGTTTTTATTACCATGCTTTTATAAGCTTTGTCATATTTATGTTTGTACGTCAGTATGTTTGCATGTAACGCGAAATCTTCTTTGCGTAGGTACTTTGCGTACTTATCATGAACCGATGAATACCTACATAATTGTGAATCTATCAAGTGTTTGGTTGTCACTCATTCTTCGAACTATCAACTTTGATGCGTTCATTTCAATGTGAGGAAAAATGTATCGATAATTGAGGCGAATGAAGCAATTCTAACTTTAGTAAATTAGAAAAATCACGTGGGATCATTTGCTAAAAGTGCATCCCAAAAACTTGTGAGCTGCTTATGATCTATAAGGCACAGATCCGACCGGTCCTGGAATACTGTTCCCATATTTGGAGTGCAGAACCCAAACTGTTGGATTCTGTCCAGAAAAGGGCAATTCGTCTCGTGGGTAGAAAAGTTGGCGATCTGGCTCTATTTCATAGATATTTTCATGGACGATGCTCTTCTGAAATATCCACAATTGTTCCTCCCTTGGCAGTCCCCGCGAGAATAATCCGTCAAGTTGAGGCTTCGCACCCCTTCGTGGTCACTTTGGAGACCTGCAGAACATCTCTTTCCAAAGACTCGTTCATCCAACGAACAGCAAGGCTCTGGAACACATTGCCAAGGGAGGTGTTCCCCGAAGCATATAACCTCCAGAAATTCAAGAAGAACACCAATTCTTACCTTATTTCACTTGGTTCTAACGATGTTCTCTGAAAATTACAGGATATTTCGTGGGAACCAGAACTTTAAAAAAAATCGAAACACATTCGAAATAGGGAAACATGGAAACAACATTCTCTTTCGGAGAAGTTAGTCATCAAGAAAATACAGGTAGCAGGCAGTTGCTATGGTCAGCGGATTTGGATTTCAATTTAATCCCATTAATTTCTTTCTGATGTTCATAGTTATTGATGTTGATAGTTATTTCTGATTGTTCAACCGCTATAAATTAGTTTTGTACAATCAGGTCTGCTTTTTTCCGGCTGACAACCCCCGTTTGGATTTTTTAACCTAATAATCATTGCTGCACATGGTACCTCTATTTAATTTTGTTTCTTTCTGGTTATTAAATTTCATTCATCGGGTATTCAATTCCTTGATTAACAATTTATTTATTCAATGTTATCAATTATTATTATTGGGTTTGTTTTGTTGGGAAATGAATCTGTTTTTTATGTGACGGGAAAAAGTATCACATTGATCTTTGTTGACAGATAACAAAATGTTACTCCTCATGAAATTACTGTTTTCCTTGTCTGAATAACTATTATTTTGATATTTTGTTCATTTTATCTTTCTGTGATTATTTCATATTTCAACACGAATTTAGATCGAGCTGATATCATGGATCTTGTTCCATGTGAGAAATTATTTCGTTATTTATCTCAATTATACGAAGGCGTTGAAGGGCCACCTTTACTTTTTTTTTTTCAAATCCCGACTTTAAAGTCGGACCCCCGACTTTAATCTCGGGATCCCGACTTTAAAGTCGGGGGTCTCACCTGTACATCTTCAACTATGGAACCTTCATTACAGAACTTTTGTTTATGTACAGGGTGGGCAAAATTGGGCGTTTTCACCGTCTATCTCAATAACTAGAGGAGTTATCGAAAAACCGATATACATGTTCCGGGTTCGATTTTGGAGAAACCTCGAATGGCACAATGCAAATTTCGATATCTTCATACGTTTTAGAGATACAGGGGGAAATTGAAAATTTGCCGATTTCGATTTTATTTTCTGACTACTTTACGGTGAGAGATATCAAGAAATTTCAAACGTATATTTATACAGTATGATGCGTGGAATCCATTGGCATCATCAGAAATTTTATACAGGGTGACGTTGAGAAGATACGGCAGCCAATAATGTTTTTTCTAATGGAACACCCCGTATATTTTGGCACAGTTGAATAGTCCCAGGCGTTCTCATTACAAATATATCTATAACCCCACCTTTTCCTTCCACAATTTCAGATATATTCGCAAAAATATATTCAGTGTGTCACATTTCTTATGGTTACACCCCCGTATCTTCTGTAAAAATAATTGAGGTAGGATTCAAAAATTCGCAACTGTCAGATAGATACATGGAGTCATGAACCAAGTGGGATCATCTCCAATGATAACACTGCTCGCCAGCAGCTATGGAATCATCGATATTTCTGGATAATGCTATCAACAGGCAGAATCGAGGTTGAAAATGACACTCTGTATATATTCAACAGAGGTGGAAAATGAATATCATAGGGAATGTTATTTCCAGACAAATGGATATTTGGTGAGAAATAAAATGGGAAATTATTCGATTTGATATCAGTGTTATCAAGACAATTGAGATACAGAAATAAGACCAATAATTTACTCAATTAGGAAATCAGTAGGTTGCGTTGAAAATTATAGCCTTATTACATTCCCTTTGATATTTATTTTCCACCTCTGGTGAATATATACAGAGTGTCATTTTCAACCTCGATTCTGCCTGTTGATAGCATTATCCAGAAATATCGATGATTCCATAGCTGCTGGCGAGCAGTGTTATCATTGGAGATGATCCCACTTGGTTCATGACTCCATGTATCTATCTGACAGTTGCGAATTTTTGAATCCTACCTCAATTATTTTTACAGAAGATACGGGGGTGTAACCATAAGAAATGTGACACACTGAATATATTTTTGCGAATATATCTGAAATTGTGGAAGGAAAAGGTAGGGTTATAGATATATTTGTAATGAGAACGCCTGGGACTATTCAACTGTGCCAAAATATACGGGGTGTTCCATTAGAAAAAACATTATTGGCTGCCGTATCTTCTCAACGTCACCCTGTATAAAATTTCTGATGATGCCAATGGATTCCACGCATCATACTGTATAAATATACGTTTGAAATTTCTTGATATCTCTCACCGTAAAGTAGTCAGAAAATAAAATCGAAATCGGCAAATTTTCAATTTCCCCCTGTATCTCTAAAACGTATGAAGATATCGAAATTTTCATTGTGCCATTCGAGGTTTCTCCAAAATCGAACCCGGAATATGTATATCGGTTTTTTGATAACTCCTCTAGTTATTGAGATAGACGGTGAAAACGCCCAATTTTGCCCACCCTGTACATCCGAACGTTACTTTTTATACGTACCTACCTATATATATGAACATACAATAATTTTACATCCATTGGATAATCATCACAGGATCAATCGAAAACCTCCTTTTTGGATGTACACAGAATGTCAAATAATGGATCACACCTGTACGATCATTATCGTACGTACAGGGTGATTGTTTATATTTTACGACTTCATAGTCGGGATTCGAAAAAAAAAGTATAGGTGGCCTTTCAGCGCCTTCGTACAATTATGTACTAACAAAAGAATATTTTGTTGGTTTCTCTTCTTGAAAAGTGAATGTATTTATTATTTCATTCATTATATTTTTCAATACATATTGTAGTACGGATCTTGCACGTGACCATTCATGTTGATGCATGTAACCCAAACTCAATAAATAAATAAATTTAATATAATGAATACGTAATTGCAAAATTCGCTTGTCAAACAAAGTCACATTTGATCCGAATGAAACATGCTATTTGTTCTGCATCCGAAAGAATTAACTCAAATAAATATGTGAAGTATCCACCAATTTCGTGGCATATGTATAATAATGATAATAATAATAATAATAAATGGCCTTTATTTTACTTGGCGGAATTCAGCATAGCTATTCTTCCACTCAACCAAAGTTTTTTACAAAGTAGGTACATAAACAAGATGATAATAACTCTAAATGCAGTGTATGTAAGTAATATGAGTACTAGTGTATTATTTTATCATGTATTTCGCTGATACTCATCCAGAAGTGACTGTTCGAGTTTTCTCTTCAAGGTGGGTAAAGACAAACGTTTCAGATCTTGACTAATAGGATTATATAAGGTTACGTATGCAATGCATAAATAATCAGTGTGGTGAAAATATTTTACATGCACTAACAGATCAGGTTTATTCAATTTTCAAGGATGTTCCAATTGAAGTTTCAATATGTATAAATACAACCACATACTGACTCATTTGTATATAGACCAGGTGTCAGCCCTAATAGCAGATACCGCGCCAGGTATGGGAAAAATACGTGGAAAATATTAGGTTAGTGAGCATATCAACAATAATAAAAGCCATGGAAACCATCCATCCTTCTCAAAGTGGTCCAGATTTTTTCAAAGGAGAAAACACAAATGCTAAGTCGGTCGATCACAAAGTTTAATTACAAAAAGATTTTTGTGACTAGTTTCGGCTCAAGCAGCCATCTTCAGACACAATATATAGTACCTGTAAAGATATTGGTTTACAAGAATAAAATGACATATTGAGGAAAAAACATACCTATAAAAGGACACGTGGAATAACATAATTGATTTAATCGAAAAATAAATTGCAAGGGTCATTTAGGTTTTTTAGACATAATGAATCTTGTAATTAATTCATTTTTCAGAATTTTACTGCAACATTATCATAACTCAAAATTGTAATCTTATATTGTGCATGTCATTTGAATTTTTTATCAAATGTCACTGTCATTTGTCATGTAATTCTGTCAACGTCTGTTGCTTTGCTTGACATTTCGTTGCCATCTCCTTGGCTTTTGTCTTGCACAAAAACGCCCATTTTAAGATGAAACTCATGTGAGTGAATTAACTGCTGGTTTTTCCAATTTTCTGCTAATGTTGAATCTTATCCTTTGATAGGTTCTTTTGGCTGTTCAGTCGGTTCAAAAGAATACTAATTTTTTCACCTGACTGAATTTTGGCCAAATGACCCTTGCAATTCATTTTTCAATTAAATCAATTATGTGATTCCACGTGTCCTTTTATAGGTATGTTTTTCCTCAATATGTCATTTTATTCTTGTAAACCAATATCTTTACAGGTACTATATACTGTGTCTGAAGATGGCTGCTTGAGCCGAAACTAGTCACAAAAAATCTTTTTGTAATTAAACTTTGTGGTCGACCGACTTAGCGTTTTGTGTTTTTTCCTTTGAATAATAAAAGCGATTACTTTTCTTCTCTATACCCCACTGTGTGTGGCTAGGTAATCAAATGGGGATAAACAATATCGTTGTGTGAGACAAAAAACTATTGCTGCCCTGATTATTCAAAAACAAGTTATCCATCCCGAGAATCACGAATGAAATATAGATCAAGCAAGAATGTGAATCTTGAAGGCTTTCCTGATCAAAACAAAAATACTAAACTACAATATGGTGTATTTATATCGGAAACAAATCAGTTATGCGTCCCAACCCAAATAACCATAATCATTACAATGTTGTTTATTCTTGATGACCTCTAAAACTTCCTTTTTAGTTCCTAGGAGCTAAAGTTCAACTCCAGCTCCTAGGAACTAAATGTGTTGCCTAGCAACATTCCTATGATTGTGTCAGTAATTGAAACGTCAATTCAAGCGCTGTTTTTATGTGTGCCCGCAAATAAAACTGCTCATTTCCAACGTTCATTTTCTTACAGTATCACTGAAATATTCATCGAACTTCAACAAGCATCAAAACTCTGAATACTATAGTGCACAGATTTATTTGTGTTTTTTATATCTATCTATTTTTTTGGGGGTTAGGTGGAAGAACGGACAATCTGGGGTCTATCTTGATTCCAGAATGAATTGAACCCTGCCCTAAATTATTATTATTTGTATATGTTATTATATTTATTTTCCAATATAATATAGATACCTTTACCATTATTATCATCAATGAACTCTCGTCACGTGATAACGAGTTGAAACAAAAAGCGATCAAAAAGGGATAATTTCCCCTTCTTAATAATAATAATAATAATAATAATAAATGTTTTTATTGGACAGACATTATATCAGTTGATATATACAGGTTGAACACTTAATAAATGCCTGCCAAATGGCAGAGTTCAAATTGCCTGTGAAGACAGGAATTTGCTCTTCCACTCAACCAGTAAAAACTCATTCATATCTAAATTTGCCGCGATTCGAAGTGTTGGAGCAGTGCAAAACATACAATGAATGGGACATGATGTCATTTCGTTATCAGATGACGGTCGAGTTGAAACAAAAAGCAAATGAATTTGGATAATGTCCATTTTTGGATATATTCAAACGTGCCGCGATTCAAACTTATCTTAGTGGCAGACCGTGCAAATTATCGAGAATATTTCGCCCATGTAGAGAGATAATATACAGGGTGTCAATTTGAAAACTTCCCACCCTCAATATCTCCCTCCAAGTCGATAATATGGAAAAACGAAAAGACAGGTCGATTTTATTTTCGAGGGGGACATGGTTCTAGAATATTTTCAGCCCCGCGGCGTTGCCGCTTCTAACGAAAAGAAGCAACAACTTTGTTATTTCAAATAGAACACCCTGTATTTTATTGCATTTTTAGATTCTCACTGAAAAGCTGATTTCATCAATGCATCACACTTGGGGTCTAGCAGGAATGATTACAGAGATATAGGGTGTTCAAAATCGAGATTTTACAACTTTAGGATTTTTTTGAGTCGAAACTATTCATTATTGGTCAAACCGGCTTCCATGTCCCTATCTCAACTTTTGATTTACTATCTACTGACATTTATTTGAAACAAATACAGGGTGGTTCAAGATTCAGACTTTTGATCACCCTGTATTTGTTTCAAATAAATGTCAGTAGATAGTAAATCAAAAGTTGAGATAGGGACATGGAAACCGTTTTGACCAATAATGAATAGTTTCGACTCAAAAAAATCCTAAAGTTGTAAAATCTCGATTTTGAACACCCTATATCTCTGTAATCATTCCTTGCTACACCCTAAGTGAGATACATTGATGAAATCAGCTTTTCAGGGAGAATCTAAAAATGCAATGAAATACAGGGTGTTCCATTTGAAATAACAAAGTTGTTGCTTCTTTTCGTTAGAAGCGGCAACGCCGCGGGGCTGAAAATATTTTGGAACCATGTCCCCCTCGAAAAAAAAATCGACCTGTCTTTTCGTTTTTCCATATTATCGACTTGGAGGGAGATATTAAGGGTGGGAAGTTTTCAAATTGACACCCTGTATATCCGATGGACCATTGTAAAGCTCATGTCAATTTGAATACTCGCAAATGTTTCATGTTGAAGACAGAAGCAAATTCGTCCCTGATACATCGAAAGATGAGTTGAAATTGGATATTTTCAATATACTTCCCCAATGATTTTCCAAGCAAGCCGCCACTGACTATTAATTGAATGATTGTTTTGGGTTTTTTATAGTAAAATTTCAAATGCAGCGACATAGTATTGGTGAAAATCATCTGATTTGTACTTACGACAAATGATGATAATAATATTTCCTCTCAAAAAAACAGAGAGAGAAGTACTCAGATTTCAGAGAAATGAGTTATTGATTTTAACTCTTATCTTACATTAGTTATAGGTTTTATTAGCTAGGGTATGGAACCATTAATCGAGAAATCCATTTCTGAAGCCATGTTGATTATTCGTGATCATATTAACTGAATGCTTGTTCATTTTGCCAGATGACTGAACTTAGTGACCTCTGACTAGGATATTTCTCGATATCTGGGTACAAAATCTTCAAGGAAGAATTTATTTTCATATTTGAATGAAAATCAGTGATTTAACTCGAGCGTGATAGACACGATACATATTTTTTTTGAAATACAAATTTTATGAGGCAATCAATTGCTTGGAATATTAAGTATTTTTCATAAGTAGACATCACAACATGTTAATGATAATAGAAAAAATCGTGAAAAAAAGTAGCAATAACTCTTCTGAAAGACACTTGATATTATAATGAGCCTATATACCTGAACATTTGAGATCAGAACCATAAATAATGCATAATCAAGACAGTTTCCTCGATCCAAACAATAAATTTGATCGAAGATGATTGTTAAAAGTCCGCTAAAATAGTGTGTTTAATGAGGAAATTAATCATAGCATAGCATATTTTTCTTGGTGGGGTAACTTGAATAAAAAGCCTCATACTTCCACTGCAACATTATATATTTTTCTTGGTGTGATCCGATCCCTTCAGGAGAATAAGGTGAATATAAACTTCGCATACTAACGATATATTATAAACAATTGAAAAACAGAGCAACACAGTTTTCTTGAAAAATAAACGTATCATATGGATGAGTAGAAATAACATTTAACTTCTGGATCTCTCATTATGTATTGATCAATACTAAAAACCTATATGGTTTCATCTCCTCTCCCCTGCTATACATCAAGATTTCACAAACTTGACTCTTCTACCTATTATTCCACTGTTATAAACATAACATCCCACAATCATTTTATCCAGAATCATCAATGCCCTCCGGAATAACTCACTGACAGAATTTTCTTCTATGATCCAGATCAACGTCTATAGAAGGAAACGTTGGAATATATTGGCAAGATGGCCAAGCTCTCTCTCAAACTTCAGTCAGCTCTCGTAGTGTCCCTGATATGTTTGAAAGTTGTAAGTCCTGCAGATGACGTGATCCAGTACTTTACCAGCCTCATTGCCGAAGGACAAGCTACATCTAATTCTTACGTAGTGCCTACTGATGCAAGCATGTACAAGCCAACTGATGATTCTGTTACAGGTAATGATAGCAACATCGATCGCAGAATAGTGTCGCAACATTTTCACGTTCATTCTGGGTATTATTTCAGATTATGGCACCTACGACTTTATCGTAGTAGGTGGAGGAGTTACAGGATCTGTAGTAGCCAGTCGCTTATCAGAAATGGAAAATCGCAAAGTACTGTTACTGGAAGCGGGTACATTTGCTGATGAAGAATTCCTGCGTATTCCTTCAATGACTGCCTTTTTGGCAAACTCTCCAGTCCAGTGGGGATTCAAGAGTGTTCCTCAAAAAACAGCTTGTTTATGTAAGTCAGAAACACCATACGTTTTGGTCATACAATAATTCTTAAATGTTTTTCTTAATCGTAGCTTTGATCAATCAAAGATGTTCAGGATCTCGAGGAAAAGGAATGGGAGGCACCTCTATATTGAACGGAGGAATATATCAACGTGGTGTTCCCAGAGGATTCGATTATTGGGCCGAAATAACCAATGATCCGGGATGGTCTTACAAAAACCTCCTACCGTTGTTCAAGAAATCGGAGGATTTCCACCACAATGACCCCACGGCACCAGCTGATCTGGACTATCACGGGACTGGTGGATATTTGAACGTTCAATTCGTCATGCCTAGAAATCCTATCACCGACATTTTCTTGCAAGCAAACAGAGAACTCGGCAATCCCATTGTTGATTATAACGGACCCAGTCAAATCGGTGCTACTATCTTCCAACTGTATATGAAAAATGGTCAGCGACTGAACATCAGCTCTGCGTTCTTGGACCCTGTTATGGACAGGAAGAACTTGAAGGTATTAACTGAGAGTTACGTTACCAAAGTAAACTTTGATAAGAATGATAAGAGAGCAATCGGTGTCACCTTCACTCATCATGGTAAAACCTACAGTGCAAATGCTGACCGAGAGGTCATACTCTCAGCAGGCGTTTTCCAAACCCCGCAGCTGCTCTTACTATCCGGAATCGGTCCGAAAGCGCATTTGGAAGAAGTTGGAGTTGAAGTAATTGAAGATTTGGAAGGGGTTGGTAGCTCCTTGCAAGATGATGTCATTAATCAAATGGTCATTTTCAAATCCAACTACAGCGCCACACCCAAACCACTTGAACAACAGATCCAGGAATATCTTGAGGGCAGAGGACCAATGACCGAAGTCTTGGCTTCACAAGGTGTAGGTTTCTACCAGACACAGTACGAGAAAGACGATCTCATAGATCTAGAATTGATCAGTTCTACCACCTCAGCCTCAGAGTTCGGTCGTAAATACATGGGTATGAGAGCCGAGACTTACAACGCCATATGGGGAAATGACACGAAAGGAATGGCCATCAACATTTGCAATGTTAACCCAGTATCTAAAGGCACTGTAAGGCTGAAGAGCAGCAGTCCCTATGACTACCCACTGATAGACTTCAATCTGATGAACGATCCCCAAGAAAAGGATATCGCTGTTATGTATGAGGGTGTTCAGAGAGTGATGCAGATGATGAAGACACCCTCTTACCAAAGGTATGGCACTGAATTCCTCGCTAACCCAATCCCTGATTGTATGAGTCATGAGCTGTGGTCCAAAGACTACTGGTACTGCTTCTTGAGACACACGAGCATCGCAGCTTACCATACTCGAGGTTCTTGTCCTATGGGGTCGGATCCCAAGAAAGGAGCTGTTGTAGATAATGAACTGAGGGTATTTGGAGTGAAGAATTTACGAGTTGTTGATTCTAGTGTGATGCCTGTTACTATGTCTGGTCATAACACCGGAACCTGTCTTGTCATCGGAGAAAAGGCTTCTGAATATATCAAAGGTCATCATAAGTAACATAACTATGATGTAACTTTTTGGTAGAAATTGACGCAGGCATGCATTTCGTTGAGTAAAATTTGTTATTATTGCAATATATTCCATCTGAAATGAAGCTTATTTGTTTTATTTTCATACTCATATGATTCGTATCACGCTTGCTTCCGCAATAAGCTTACCTACATTATGCTTCAAACGATGCACACAAAATATATATCACTAATTATTAGAAGATAGAGAATATATCATTCCTTATTCCTATTTGCAGGAATAATTGATTGAACGAATCAATCAATTTCCTACGCTTGTAGAGAATATATTATTCCTAACACATGCGAAAAGTGTCTTTTCCACACTCGACTTCTTGTCCGAACTCCGCTTCGCGTCGTTCGGGTCAACGGCATTCGAGTGCGGGAAAAAATCACTTTCCGCACCTGTTAGGAAAATCACTATTTGACTCACCCTAGTGGACTATAGTGGGAATATTTGTTATATCATGATTATAATCAAGTTATCAGTATATTAGTCAATTAAATATTTTCCCAGAAAGACACGACAGTGAATTCGTGTGGAAATGAACGAAAATTTCCCAAAATAATGTTGATAATTCGTTTTCAATATAATTGTGCCAAGAATGCGTTCTAGTTTCATATACCACTTCCAGTATAGAATATTCAACTATTTTACCACTTGTAGCAGATGGATATGATTTCGATACCATATGTTTTTGTTATCGGAAAATATAGAACAATTTGAGCAACATTTGAAAACAATATGTTGATTTCGACGGAATTGTCTGTAATTTCGATGCCATAAAACAATACTCGATCGGGGATTAACTCACGATATTATCATTGAATCTTAAGAAAAATAAAAAAGTTATCAACCTTCAGATTACAAATACAAAACTGATGTCATAGAAAAAATACCCGTTTCATCGAAAAACCGTTTTGCAACATATCACTTATATTAAAAAAAATCATTGTTGTAAATTATCGGCTGGATTATAGCTATAAAACCAGGGATATACTTGTATACATAGAAATTGGGTAGTCAAGGATGTTACAATAGGTGAAAACCTGATAATATATCGTTCTCATAGGAGAAAATATGTAGAATGATTTCTGCCAGCCCTTTCAATAATGTAATGTGAACATATTTTGAATTGCTAAAAGTGCATCCCAAAAACTTGTTTTTCTGTTTCGGGCCAGGAGCTATTTCACTTCCAGTCAGCTGCTTATGATCAATAAGGCACAGATTCGACCTGTCCTGGGATACTGTTCCCATATTTGGAGTGCAGCACCCAAACATACCCTGAAACTGTTGGATTCTGTCCAAAAAAGGGCAATTCGTCTCGTGGGTGATGCCTCGCTCACAAAATCACTCACTTCTCTGGAACACTGTAGGAAAATTGGCGATCTGGCTCTATTTTATAGATATTCTCATGGACGATGCTCTTCTGAAATATCAACAATTGTTCCTCCCTTGGCATTCCTGCGAGATTAACCCGTCGAGGTGAGGCTTCGCACCCCTTCGTGGTCACTTTGGAGACCTGCAGAACATCTCTTTCCAAAGACTCGTTCATTCAATAAACAGCGAGGCTCTGGAACACATTGCCAAGGAAGGTGTTTCCCGAGGCATATAACCTCCAGAAATTCAAGAAGAACACCAATTCCTACCTCATTTTCCTTGGTTTTCACGATGTTTTCTGAACATCACAGGATATCCTTTTTCGTGGGAACCAGAACATTAAAAAAAATGATGATATGCAAAGGTTTTGTTATTCTTCATGAAACAATTTGATAGCTCATTTTTCGATGTCGACATATTGAAAAAAAAATTCTAAATGGATAGATAGATAGATAGATAATATATTACCGTTTTTGCCATAATACAATGATCGGTTCGTCATACATGAAAAAATAACTATAACTAAAGATATGATAAAAATTTGTTGAACAAATGAAATTAGGAGCGAGTCACATTTACATAAATTGGTATACACAGTTATATAAAATACAGTAGTAAATACCTACACAAGTTAGCACCAACATAGATTTATGAATTTTATTATTGTTGATTTAATATTTGAAGATATGATTGAAAGTCTGCTGTGGTATAGAAGCTATTTTGGATAAGAATATGTTTAAGATTTTTTTTTTAACATATTGTAGCTGAGGTTTTTCAGTTCTTCTGGAAGTTGATTATAGAGGTGACTGCCTGCATAATTGGGTGATTTCTTATAGGTCATATAATTGAAACTATTCAGGTAGATGTTAGATTGATTTCTTAAAGAATACTTGTGTACTTCAGAGCATTTTTTTAGTCCATATATGTTTTTATGGATATAGCAGAGAATTTTGAATATATAGATGCTGCACACTGTTAGAATATGTTCCTTTGTGGAAGTATTTTTGCATGATTCTTGATGTTTCAAATTGAAGATTGAACGAATTATCCGTTTTTGAGATGTGAAGACTCTCAACCAGTCAGTTGCTTGCCCCCATGAGGCAATATTATAGCTTATTGCAGAGTAACCTAGAGCATAATACACATTTATTAGTGCTTTAGTGAGAGAATGGCAAAGTAAGTTTTGTTGAGTTTGTGACAGAGGTTATTGATTTGTTCGCACCAGGTTAGTGCAGTTAGATATTACGACTGATCCCTTTCACAGTGTGTCTCGCTTTTCATGAGAACTGCTATTAATGAAGCGATTATCATCCCAATTTCAAGCAAATCGCATCAGCGAAGCAAGATTATCAATTCTTCTTGAGATCTTGAATATATGAATTGGGGAGTGTTTGGGGATGCTGATTCTGAATCTGATACCTAAACAAGTTATTCAAAAAATGCCGATTATATCCTTTTCCCGAGAAAAGGCATTTTTTGTACCGCTCAACATCGCACGCCAATAGTGAATTCATTGTTCTAACATAATATCACTACCAAAATTTCAAGAAAATCATTAATAAATGAGATATTAGTGTTTATCTCGTGGTGTATTCATGGAAAGGGACACACTGTACAAGTACGCTCTGAATCTTGAATATTCCAAATAATATTGATAGGTATAGCTAATATGTTTAGTGGGACGTGGGTACCCTGGACATTTCATGCATCATAGCACGTCATAACATTTCAATCACCACAGACGATGGTATTTACCTGTTTCAAATACTGTAGATAATAAAATCATTAGAATTTTTTCCAGTCTCCATTGACTGGATTTCAATACATTTCTAGATTCTACCATTCAATACCTGAATTTTGTCCTCATAAATACTATCGATATTTCGTTCATTTTGTAAAATAATTATAAAGAGAATGCTATCAATTATATTTTTTAGTAAAGTGTCGAATGCTATCGACACTTGGCACTTTTGTGTATTAACTTGAGAGGTTTTCCATGGAAAATAGTAATTCTGTTTTCAAATTCGGCGTCGATAAGTGGATATTATCAGCTTGTTAGCGTTGGAATTACCGAAACAGTTTCATGAATCCTGTTCTCTGCTAATTTGAATATTATACCCACATGTCATTTGTTATCCAAACAATCATGAACGTTCAATTCGGTACGATGTTGCTATAGATAGACGTAATGGGAATAAGTACCGGTAATTATCCTCCCTAGGTAAGCTCGATGTTCTTCGAACATCATAGGAATTTCCTTTCGTGCGATACAAGAGATAAAAAAACTTTCGCAGAAAATTGTAATTCCGACGGCTGTGATAAGAAACAATGAGATAGATTGTATGTGTTCAATTCCATTTTCTTATCAGATAAAACTTACTACAGAAGAATTAATTAAGTTTAATTAATCAAGAAATGTTCGAAGTGAAATGAAATTTCATGAAGAATCAAAAACTCGAAATAATTTCCACACGTGTTCGATAAAATGGACAACATTGAAAAAGTAAATTCTCAGATATATTTATGAACACAAAAATATGGATATATACAGTGTGGTCATTTGAGTGTGCAACATATGGGAATCTTTTTAATGAGTTGCACAACCAAAATACAGATAGTGCCGAAAGTTGGTGCATGTACAGTTACCATTTTAGGTGTACTCAGAATGGTTGCAAGTCACACAACATACAGGGTAGGTCAAAAAATATGAAAATTGCTCAAGAGTAAAGTACCCTTATTTCAAGAAATTCAGCAAAATGTTATTGAGAAAAGTTGTTTACAATCGAAAGATATGCCTAAATACGAAAACATGGTCTCCTAAGACATTTTTTAGTTTTTCAATTTCGTTCGTGAATGATTTCACAATTTGTAATTTTTTTCATATTCACCCTAAATATTTTCATAAATCAATCAGTTGAGCATGCATTTGTTCAAATTCAAGCAATTAACTCGGATTTTATTTTTTTTTGGGGAATCACAATCTTTATGTTTGTTGCAACGATATTCAGCTTAACTATAAAATTTCGCAAACCATATTTTTAACAAGGTGAAACATCATCAATGATAATATGCATATTGAAAAACTTCCATTCGATGTGAACATTTTGTATTCAAAATATTACAAATTGGGAAATTATCAACGATTATAATTTAAAAACTAAAGAATATCTAAGGTGCCATGTTTTGGTATTTGGGCATAACTTTCAATTGTTAACAACTTTTCCCAATAACATTTTGCTGAATTTTCTGAAATAAGGGTACTTTACTCTTGAGCGACTTATATTTTTTGACCTACCCTGTATGCTGTTTGACTTGCAACCATTCTGAGTGCACCTAAAATGATTACCGAACATGCACCAACTTTCGACCCTATATCTGAATTTTGGTTGTGCAATTCATTGAAAAGATTCCCATATGTTGCACACTTAAATGACCACACTGTATATATAGAAATACATTGAGAATTCGCATCCTCCATGTGATGAAAGGATTGATTCTTTCTCGGTTTATTCAACAGAAAACAACTACTTTCCTGGCTATATGCCACGACGAATATTGAATTACATCTATTGAACACTCACGATAAGAATTCGAAAACAAAATCTTCTGAAGAAGAGAATTTGCTTTCTCCTTCAAATAAAGATATGCATATGATATTATTCTGTATATTCAACAGGGAACAACTACTTTCCTGGCTATTTGCCACGTCGAACATTGAATTATATCTGTTGAATATCCAGAAAGAGAGCATGAAAAATCAAAATCTTCTGAAATTGAGAATTGACATTATCTCTCAAACCGAATAGAATGTAATATGATGTATCAAGATATTAAAATATAACTTACCAATATGTTCAGTTCTGAAATGAAAATTGAAATGTATAGGAGAAGTATAATTGTATGAACTCTGATCTTGATGAGCTTGGAACTTCCAAAAAAAATCATTCGTATCGTAGTGATAAACTCATTTCGGATATCATATCCTCATCAGTAACCTGAAGTCCAGTTATTCTTTCAGCCATTCTTCATGATATACACAATTTTCATCTCCCTTGAACGATGGAAACTTGTCATTTTTTATAGACCGCAATCGCAGATTCGTGATAAGTTTTCTCAATTCAGAATTTCTTTCCACGTCCTGTATGATGAATATCAATTTATCATACATCCAAAAACAAATGCCCGATGACAGTGCTACTGTCAACAAATTATTATTCTCAGATTTCAGTTCGTTATAGTTTTAGTTGTATTATAGGGAGATGAAAATTGTGTGCCGCGGCAGTCAATCTACTACTTTTCTGCCTAGTAAAACAAATAACCATTTTGCGGCTCTATAAAAACTCCTGAATACAATAGCAGATAGCAATTGTGACAAAAAATTGGCATCAATTATTCAACAAATTTTAAGCGACTGATACGGCGAAAAAGAAATTTATTTTGAAATTAAATTCCAATTTTATGCAACCTTCAAGCGTATGAAAAACTAAGATTTGACAAGTACGCTGGATTCATCTTCAAAGCAGCTTTCCAATGAGGGGTCACAAGCCATAGGGTTACACTTGAAAAAATCATGTTGAGGGTGGTTTCAACTATCCCTGTGGAGGGATCTGTTCTGAATATTGCTTGCAAAAGGAAGAGAAATACATTAAATCGATGACGTATGTCGGGAATTTTCAGAAAAATATCCACCTCCCCGTTAACGAATTCATTCAAATCAAAGTCTTCACACTGTAATTAATATTAAACTGCTATTGTAAAAATCATTGTTGATCTTTGTATTTTAGGCTGCGGTCAAATTGCATCCGTATTCGACCGATTGTTTACACCAAACTTCCCCGTATCTCCTGTACTTTCCTGTCACATTTTTTTCCAAACTGAGGTTTTCCTACCATCATCACCATTGGGAAAAATCGTTCTAATACGGAAACAGTTTGACCGCTGCCTTATACTTGAACACGATTTCAGATAGCTGAAGATTAACATGTGGTATTTAAGTAATATATAGATATAAATTTCGCCAGCTCTCATCATTTCACACCAGTTGTTCAATCTTCTTCAATCGAAATGATAACTAAATTAGTTGTCACTGTTTTGCTTTTTGCTTTATTCAATCTTGAAGACGTGAGATGTGCCAGTGTGGAAGAATTGAAGAGACTGATTGATATTGCAACTTTGGAAGCTGACGCTTATGAATTTCCCAGAGATTCTCGAATCTACAAGGCCAAAGATGAGAAAATAATAGGTAAATTCAATATCATTCATGAAATTATTGATGTTTTATTCAACATTCATTAAATGTAACAGCCTATAGTTTTCTTATTTGGAGAGATAAAAATTTGAAATTCACAAGGGTTATATTATCAATGATGGCGCTTCCATTGAATTCCATGACAATTCTCTTCAACCAACTGTTTGATTGGAAGTAGACCCAACTTTTTTTAGCACCCTGTATATTTCCGTAGCCCATTTTATATGCCTTGAAATTCTCTATTCAATTATGTATCACAATTTGATATTCGTTCTTTAATTGGCTGTTAAATTGCATTTTATTGAAATAAATGAAGTTGGCTGTAGCCCGAATACAATGACATTTCGATGCTTGATAGGCTTAGAAATCCAAAGATCATTACTTAGACGATATTATCAGAAAGTTTTCTATACCCTAATCGGTCCCAGAAGATAGCTAATAATTTCATTGAGTTTATGAAAATCGTCCGAAAATAACTCACGACATTGAGAAAACTAAGATAGAAACTCAGTTCTTCTCATTTTGACTACTTGTGAAGAAACTATTTGTCTTTCATTTTTGCCATGTAGCCATAATGATCATCCATTTGGATACATGAAACTGAAATTGTTGTAATAATTGGTGTATCGTTCTAATATCGTGAGTTATTTTAGGGGAAAAGGCAAATACATGTATTTCAATAAAATGCAATTGAACAGCCAATTAATGAACGAATATCAAATTGTGATACATAGTTGAATAGAGAATTACAAGGGGAATAAGATAGACTACAGAAATATACGGGGTATTATTTGAAAAAAAAATAGTTGGGTCTACTTCCAATCTAACAGGTGGTTGAAAAAAATTGTAATTGAATGCAAAGGAAGCGCTATCATCAAAAATATAACCCTTGTCAATTTCAAATTTTTATCTCTTCAACTAAAAAGTAACACAAGCTGTTACATGTCTCCTGTGTCACCCGGTATAACTAAAAATCACCAGCAACTGCCATTATGTCGATTAGTTGTTGGACAAAGCATCAACTCAATAAACCTACCAGGTGAATACCTAATTATTGTCAATGATTACTTTTACACTAGTTTCATTCAGACAGTTTGACGATACTATATACAGTGTGTCCCACTTACCATGCTCACCATGGGTATCTTTTTAACGGTGAGAGATACGAGGTCGGTTAAATGACACCAAATGTGGAGTTTGTCAAGGCCAACTATAATGTGAAAAAATATTTTGATAAAATCTATTCGTTTTTGTTTTATACGCAAAAAAAAACAGATTTTGATCATTCTCATGTCTCCTCCGTAACTTCCTTATTTATGAAAATATTCAAATAGAAATTTCACATTCTCATGGCAGTTTTTCAAAGTGATTTCGAAAAAAATATGAAATTCATACCAACTCTTTTAGAATTTGAGATATCAGCACCAACTTTAGTTTTTCAAATGTAGGTCATAGCTCACTATGACTTAGTTACAAATAGCTTTTTTTTCTCTTACAGATGATGTGGCGCAGTAATAGTTTTGTGTTGATAACAACAGAGTTATCGTCATTTATACAAAAACAAAAAATTATTTGGAAGCCGCCATCTTGAATTTATACATTTTAACAAAAAAATCATGATCTCCGACCTCAAAAACCCCCACTTAACAATTTTGAATGGAATCGGACCAATTCTTGTCCGCCATCTTGGAGCAGCCATATTTTTTAATTTCAACAAAAATTCCATAATAAATTGTCACCGAAATTATGAACACCTGCCAAATTTCGAGTTGATCGGAGTTATGGAATTTTTGTTGAAATAAAAAAAATGGCTGCTCCAAGATGGCGAGCAAGATTTGGTCCGATTCCATTCAAAATTGGTAAGTGGGGATTTTTGAGGTCGGAGATCATGATTTTTTTGTTAAAATTCATAGATTCAAGATGACGGCTTCCAAATATTTTTTGTTTTTGTATAAATGACGATAACTCTGTTGTTATCAACACAAAACTATTACTGCGACACATCATCTGTAAGAGAAAAAAAGCTATTTGTAACTAAGTCATGGTGAGCTATGACCTACATTTGAAAAACGAAAGTTGGTGCTGATATCTCAAATTCTAGAAGAGTTGGTATAAATTCCATATTTTTTTCGAAATCACTTCGAAAAACTGCCATGAGAATATGAAATTCCTATTTGAATATTTTCATAAATAAAGAAGTTACGGAGGAGACATGAAAATTACCAAAATCTGTTTTTTGCGTGTAAAACAAAAACGAATAGATTTTATCAAAATATTTTTCCACATTATAGTTGGCCTTGACAAACTCCACATTTGGTGTCTTTCAACCGACCTCGTATCTCTCACCGTTAAAAAGATACCCATGGTGAGCATGGTAAGTGGGACACACTCTATATTGAATTCGTGTGTTTCTCATATTGACGTTTGAAATTGTTTGAGTACTATTATATAGCTGGGCGGAGAATACAAGAGACAAGAACATCAAAACCTCAAGTTTTTTGTTCAATTTCTAGCAAAGTCATGAAAATAATGTAGATACTAATGACTGGATGACCTGTCTATTCGCTATTTTTTGTTAACTTTCTCCAGCTAGAAATGAGAATTCAATTCCACAGAAAAAGTGTACTGAGATACACGTCATGACAGTTCAAGAAAATAATCTTTCCGCTTCGCGGTCAGATTATTTCACCTGTTCTAAAAAATTTGTTCTAAAATTTGTTCTATCCGTCATTCGGTTGCCCCCTTACGAGCAACCCTCAAAAGTCTTCGAAAGTCTTGTGCGAGCAAGGAATGACGGGGGCCTTACCTTTTAACGTGTGATCCCAAACACTTTCTTGGGCCATCAGAAAAATTTCTGCAGTCGACGGGGATCGAACCCACGACCAGCAAGCGAATGCGAATTAGAATATAGACACTCTGTCCGCACGGCTACCTGGCCACCAACTGACACTCTGTTTAATTCTACCAGTTATCGATGTATAACCCCAATATTTGAAAGTACTTATAGTATTATTAGTACTGATCATGTTAAGCAATCCAATAATTATTCATTAAAACATGTACAGTGTGTCCAGTTTTCGATGCTTTTGCGTGGAGATAGAACCTTACGGTTTTCGCGGTCCTGTGCCACTTTTTTGTGAAACTCAAGATGGCCTAATCAGTTTTCGCATGAGTGTTTCCGTTTATGAGATACAGGGCGAATTTGGAAATGTATACTGTTTGGACCCCCATTATATCTTTTTTTTATCGCTTGGAGCGCACGAAAGGAAGTCCCTATAATGTTCAAAGAACATCGTGCGTTCCTAGGGAGGATAGGTACAGGAGGTAGGTATTGGAATTTTACGCAGAATCCAGAATCCAGTGGCACACTCAAATTTTTTTTTCGGGGTATGGTTTTGGAGATACCACTCAAACTTATGATTTTTCAAATGAAACACCCTATATTTCATGGGCTCTCTGAATTCCTAATTTTCCTCCTTTGAAATGATACATAATGTAAAAATATAAAATTATCGTCGAAGATGTTCAAAAATCACTGAAATATTGAATTTCAATAGTGGGCTCTGGATATTTCATATGAAGAAAATGGACATCAACTTGAACAATTCAATGAATAAGTTACTGAATAATTTTGAAATTCAATAGCTTTCGTAAATATTCAATCAGGTGTTTTGGATTCTATTCAAAATTGGTATCTGGAGGTTTTTGGGTCGTAGAATATGATTCTTTCGTCAGAATTTGAAAATTTGGGCGGAATCTGGAAATTCAAGATGGCGGAACCAATATGGCGGACGAGTTATGTAATCATAATCCGATTTTTCTCAAATGTGGTACCTAGGGGTTTTCGTGATCTCGGATTATGATTCCTTTGTCAAAATGAGGAAATTCAAGGTGGCGGATCCAAAATGGTGGAAAACATAATTAGGATCCGATTTTATTCAAATTTGGTGTCTGGTGGTTCTCGGGGTCAGAGATTATGATTCTCACGTCAAAATTAGGAAATTCAAGATAGCGGACCAAATATGGCCGACGAGTATTGTAATCATGATCCGACTCTCTTCAAATTGTTATCTGGGTGGTTTTGGGGTCAGAGATTATAATTCTTTTGTCAAATTTTGAAAAGGGTGGGATTCGAAAATTGAAGACGGAGGAACCAATAATATACCGGACGAGTTTTGTAATCATGTACCGATTCTATTCCAAATTAATAAGTGGGCGTTTTCGGGATCAAAAATTATGATTCTTTCGTCAATATTAGGGAATTCAAGGTGGTAGATCCAATATTGCGGACGAGTTTTGTGATTATGTTCCTATTCTATTCAAAATTGTCATCTGGGGTTTTAGGAGTCGGATATTATGATTCTTTCGTCAAAATTGAGAAATTAAAGTGAACTAAGAAGAAGTTGAAATAAATGGTTGTTTGAATAACTAAAGAAACACGATTTCATAGATAGCGAAACTAAAAAGAAGTTGGAAATAAAATAATAATAACGTCTCGATGAATATTGAAATGAAAACATATATTATAGAAATAATGTATACAGCAAAACAAACGTTTGCGAGGTCTGCTAGTCATGGATAATAATGAATTATTTATTGTTTCAGACATTGGCTTCTATGATTTTGTGATCGTCGGAGGTGGTGTTGCTGGTTCTGTTATCGCTAGCCGATTGTCCGAAATCAGACAATGGAATATCCTGGTACTGGAGGCAGGAAAGATTGAGAACAGCGAATTCAACCAAATTATGGGTTATGCGGCATTCCTTTCTCTATCTGACATGAGTTGGGGCTTCAGGAGTGTTCCACAAACAACAGCTTGTTTAGGTAGAATGTTTTTGTCTACAACTACACTAGAAATAGTTATTCTTCTTCAAGCGGCATAGAAAGATTCTTTTCTCTGACAGTTAACAGGCAGCAAGGAAAAGTTTGTTATATAATATGATTTTTTCTGCAAATGTTCGAGAAGCAATTTTGAGTGATATTTTGATTAAAAACTCTATCATTATGTGTTCACCCGATGTCACTGTCAATTTTGATCAACAATTTCATTTGGAAACTTGGAACGTTGCAACTAACTTTTGCTGCCTAGGCAGAGAAAGTACACCTTAACGGCCTGTTAAGTGTTAGAGGAAAGCCACTTAGGCCGCTTGACGAGAAACGTAATTTTGTCGAGCGAGTGCAGAAAATAAGCTTTCCGAGTTCTTGAATATCAGTTTAATTATGGGTATGCATTTCTTACGATGCCCTTGAAGAGATACCTGATTATTCAAAGAAAAAAATGTTTCCATTGACTCCATTCTTCTCAATATTGACATCCCATACCTTATTTAATTCTGTTTTCTTGATCGAAATTCCACGTTTCTTTATTGATGGGGCTATTTCCACGAATTTTATTTCGAAATGTAAAGGTGTATTTTATAGTGAGGCAGCGTCCATTATTTGAGAAACCAAGGCATACCAGGTGTCCCAGTATACCTGTTCCAATAGATTATCTCAGCCATTTCGAAAGATAAAAATTATAAAATACATGATCTACTCATCTACTACAATTCCAATGATTTAAAATTATTATTGAAGTCGAAATCAAAATTACAAAAATATCATAGCCTACTGCAATTAATTTGATTTGAAATTTCAATTGACGTTTTCTCTATCTACATCGTTGGAACGGTAATTTTGAGTAGAAATCAAAAATTGCAAAAAATATACAGGGTGCTATTTGAAATCAGGAAGTTAGAGTCACTTCCGGTCAAACCAGAAGTGACTTTCAATCTTTGTTTTTCTCAGTTGAAGCTTCCTTGGACGAATTGGGGATCATTGAATTTTCGAATTTATATTTTTCGAAATGGCTGAGATAATTCATTGGAACAGGTATAATGGGACACCCGGTATATATATTTCCTGGATTTTTCAGCCTCTGAATAAAATCTAGTAGGCCCTGGTGTTCAAAACAGTGAACGCCGCTCAGCTCCAAAATACACCTTTCCTTCCTCTACATTGCAAAATGAAAATCGTGGAAATGGCTGCTTAAATAAAAAAAATTATGGCCCGCTTTCAAATGGGTCACTCATATACCTGAACGAAAAGTTATTCAAACTGCCTTGAACTCTTAATAACAACAGATAGAGTTAGAAAAAATATAAGCATTACTTGAGCCATTTTTCAGTATAGAACTCTGCTAAAAATCTACACGAGCAATCAAATGTGACAAGAATTTCAACCGTTGATTAACTGTATTTTGATGTTTTATCCAGAGACATAAATATGTTTGACCAGAACCGAATTTTGAATACTTTTACTTCGGCAAAGTCTAAGAAACGGCAACATTGTCGAGAAGAACCAGAAGATTTTTGAAGGTGCAGTCAGTGGTCTCAATTCCTAATTCCATTCATCATCTCTTGGAATCAAAGATACTGAAGTCGAGAAACATTTTCTCATATCATAAATAATTATTATAACCGTTGAGTATATTTGTTGTTAGTTTCCAGAATTTGTCCCAAATCTTCATTAAAGAGCAGGTTTCTGAAATGTTCACTATTTGATGAAAACTTGTGAAAGAATACCTTATGAAATAGGTATATTCGATCTACAATTTTAATTTTTTAAATTTATGCGAAATCGTTGTGGAATATGGACAGTTTCAGTGTTCTATATCTGGTATACAGGGTGGTTATTATTCATATCAAGAATGGAAAATCTTTGAACAACAGATAGTAAACACCGAAATTAGTAGTGTTAACCCAACATGCCTCATATTAATGTTGCAGATGTTCAATTTTATTTCAGATGTTTCCTTAACTTTGGCCAAACATGAACTTAGAAATTCTGTTTGTTGTTAGCGTTGCTAGTTATTGTTATCATTGATTTTTTTCTACTATCACTTCGCTAGTTTTATAATTCAAATTTATCGATATTTTATAGGTAGAACATAAATTTTTTCGAGAGCGAATAACGCAAAACCGGTTAGAGCTGGACAATTTGAGAAAGATAACATTTTCAGATCTTTCACATCCTCATTTTGATCATCATTCAATATACAAAGAAGATATGATGTAATTTACCGAAGTAATAGAGTGTCACTAGCGCCCTCTATGAGCAATTACCAAATAAGTTGCAAATACGTATTCCTCATGTCAGAAAACCTGAAACTACTAAATTTCATGTTCATACAGTCGGAACTTATCAAGGAATTCGAATATAAAATCTCCCCCAAGAACACCCTGTATCTTCAGAACCAGCAGCATTCTTATCAGGCATGTTGGGCAGAATATTTGAATTCTAGTGTTTACTTCCTCTAGTACAGAGATTTCCCATTCTCAATGAATCACGCTGTATAATCTAAACGCATATATTTCAAAATAGAAACACAAATTTCAAAGTCGGTCGACCACACTCTAAAGTGTAGCCAACCGACCTTGAGATTTGTATTTTTCTCTCAAAATACATTGGACCACTTAAAGTATGGATGATTTCTACGATTTGCATATTTTTCAGGTTTCGTCAACCAGTCCTGTCGTGCTTTCCGAGCAAGAGGCATGGGCGGTACCTCTTTGATGAACGGAGCTGTCTATGAGAGAGGAATGCCTTCGACCTTTGATGAATGGGCAGAAATCACAAACGACCCGTCCTGGTCATACGAGAACATTTTACCGTTATTCAAGAGGTCAGAAGATTTCCACCTCAGGAACCCCAATACACCCGTAGAATGGAATTACCATGGTAGAGGAGGACTCCTCAACGTCGAACAAAAAATCCCGCAAGACTTCCTGGCGTCCCTCTTTCTGCAAGGTCACAGTGAACTGGGCAGCGATATAAGAGACTATAATGGACGATCCCAGTTAGGCGCCTCGATTTTCCAGCTGTACACAAAAAACGGAAGACGACAAAATGTCTATGAGGCGTTCCTCCAGCCGGTAGAGCATAGGAGACCTAATTTACATATAATGACTGAGAGCTACGTGACCAAAATCGACATACAAAGAATGATGAATGAAGCAACTGGTGTCATATTCACAAGACATGGTAAAACCTACAGAGTCAAAACTACTAAAGATGTGATCCTAACGGCAGGAGTCTTTCAGACTCCCCAGATCTTGATGCTCTCTGGAATTGGTCCGATGGAACACCTGCAAGAAATGGGAATACATGTGATAAGAGACCTAGAAGTTGGTAGCCAGTTGAAGGAAGACCCGTTATGCCAGGCTATATATGTAACAACGAATATGACAAAGCCAGTAGAAACGCTCGACCAGAACTTGAGAGACTTCCTCAGGGGTGAAGGTAGTTTGACCCAAGCATACTCTACATCAGGGGTGGCGTTCCAAAGATCACAGTTTGAGGAGAAAAACTACGCTGATTTGGAATTCATAGCAGCCACGCTGGATAAATCAGATTTCGATGTGAGATACGCTGGCTGGAAGAATGAAACTTACCAAGCTGCTTGGGGTGAAAACTCCAACGCCATAGCTATAAACGTCCATAACGTCAACCCAAGATCTAGTGGTACCGTCAGATTGAACAGTGCCGATCCCTTCGACCATCCTTTGATCGATTTCAATTTGATGTCGGATTCAGAAGGTCATGATATGGCAGTGCTGTACGAAGGTGTCAGAAGGGTGTTTGATTTGATGCAAACACCGACATTCCAGACACTCAACCCCGATTACAGAGGCAACCCTTTGCCTGGCTGTGAGCAACATGAGTTTTTGTCTAAAGAATACTGGTACTGTTTCTTGAGACATACCTGTACTGCGGCAAATCACGTCAGGGGCTCTTGTCCCATGGGCAAAGATCCAAGAGAAGGGGCGATTGTAGACTCTCGTTTCAGAGTATTTGGGGTTCGAAGGTTGATAGTCGCAGACTCTAGTGTGATGCCAACTAGTATGAGTGGTCATCCTACCGGAACAATCCTTATGATTGCTGAAAAAGCTGCAGATACCATCAAGTCTCAGTACCCTCACTCACATACCTCCGAAGCCATCAGGTCTGATTATCGAATCCCAAGCCGTGTTGATACCATCAAATCTGGTTATCGATACCCACACCATCATCATTTCAATCATTATCATCATAATCATAATACGAGAACATATTAACCGTAGTGCTTATTTCAATATATATTTTGAATAAAGAGTAATCCACACTTCCAATTAATTTCATATACCTCCATCCAGCAGTTCACCTAATTATAATGTCGAATTGAATGAGTGAGAAAAATGGTGGTCAAAAATAGGATAATTTTTGTTACACACCTTCAGAAACAGGGTGTGCATGAGAATATTACAGAATTGGGGAACGTGTTGAGAGTATCATTAGCAATTAAAGAAAATTCTTACAAATAAAAAAAACATTCAGCGTCTACCTGCCATGTACTAAATTGTCACGAAACAAGGGTGAAAAAATGAACAAAATTGCCTCATTTTACGCCACTGGTCATGATAGGAACAAGAGTTTTTCATCCAAAAGTGCATTTCAACAAATGTTCAGACTCTATCAAGCTTCAATCAATTTAAAAAAAATGTTCTTGGCTGACTGGTACGATTCATTGTTGCGATTGAATTAACAGTGCTGTGCTACTTCTGGGGTTGAAATGAGTAAAAGAGATATATCTCGTGAGTTGTAACTCCTTACTGAATTGAAAGATTGTGGCGGAGATAAACATTGACTTACCACTGCATCAATAAATGGAATCTTCTCGAGCTCAATCTTGGTTAGATCGTTAGATGATTTGTATGCGGGGCACAATTCACAAACAGTTCAGCGGTTTTTACTACTGGTTATGATGATATCGGCGTTGATATTATACACGTGCATAGTGACTGTCTTTTGCGTTCTACTCGAAAAATAGTAAACAAATAATGTTGTTATGAATTAGAATCGACAATGATTCAGCCACATCACTACTACTACTTTCAGAAAAGGGGGCTGTGATCATATTCATCTTTGTTCAATAAGTTCAGTCTAGGAACACTTATGATTTGAAATACCTACACCTAATATGACTGCAATATTAATTCTATTATTTCTATTGACATTCTCAATTCTCATTCACCAGGTGTCAACGAATCCATCAGTGAATTTCTAGAATGCAAGTTGTAGCCTATTAAAATGAGGTTTCACCGGAAATAGCTCCAATTTTAAATTTTCACACTAAACAATTCACACCAAACCATAAATATTATTGAGAGCTGTAGATTTATGCTGCAGACTGTTCTGAAAGAGATAGTTTCATTCCATTTCAATCATTCATCAGTGATTCCAGTTGAGTGGAAAACAAAAAATGAATCATTCTTTAATGAATTGTCTGCATGAATTTGATCGAACAACGACTCAAGAAATTTCAGCGGAGATGATTATGATCAATGAATTTTGATAACTGTATTTTTTTTTTCTGATGGAAAAAATTCCAGGGATTTTTTTTCTTTATGTTCTGGTTCCCACGAAAAGAGATATCCTGTTATGTTCAGAGAACATCGTGAGGACCAAGAGAAATAAGGTAGGAATTGGTGTTCCAAAATTTCTGGAGGTTATATGCCTCGGGGAACACCTCCCTTGGCAATGTGTTCCAGAGCCTGGCTGTTCGTTGGATAAACGAGTCTGTGGAAAGAGATGTTCTGCAGGTCTCCAAAAGTGACCACGGAGGGGTGCGAAGCCTCAACTCGACGGGTTAATCTCGCGGGGACTGCCAAGGGAGGAACAATTGTTGATATTTCAGGAGAGCATCGCCCATGAAGATATCTATAAAATAGGGCCAGATCTCCAACTTATTGTCTACGGTGTTCCAGAGAAGTGAGTGAGTTTGTGAGCGTGGCATCACCCACGAGACGAATTGCCCTTTTTTGGACAGTTTCCAACAGTTTCAGGGTATGTTTGGGTGCTGCACTCCAAATATGGGAACAGTATTCATTGAATGATCAAACAGCTTCTATTCTCTCGATATTCAATTGAGTAAGATAACACTATACATAGGAATTAATATGTTAGTGATCATTTCCTGGCTGAATTACGTTCATTATTCAAAAGTTCTTGGTACTATGATCTGCCACGACGAATAATATTGAATTACATCTATTGAACACACACGATAAGAATTCATAAACGAAATCTTCTGATGTAGAGAATTTGCATTCTCCTTCATATAAAGATATGCATATAATATCAATTCAGAATTTATTTCCATGTCCTGTATGATTAATATCAATTTATTCACGACAGTATTTAATATATTATACTTGTGGTTTTTGAAGTATTAATGCCATATATTAATCCCGCAGGGAATAAAGACTATTAATCCCTCGCCATTATTCCCTGCGGGGATTAATATATGGCATTATACTTCAAAAACCACAAGTATATATATTAGTCGCAAATAAAGTAGAGTATACTACTCGCAATAATGGCTATTATTCTCTCGGAATGTTACTCCCTCGCCGCTAACGCGGCTCGGTTCGTAAAAAATCCTCGAGAATAATAGCTATCATTATTGACTCGTGGTATAATCTACTATTATATTGAACACATCAATATGTTACCAGATTCTCCTCAAGTCTCCTTACTGGAGAGGAATTTCATCTTGATTCATACGGAGATGACATCATATGCCACACTCACTGCTTTGGCCTCATTGGTACACTGTAGAAAAGTCTGCGACCTTTCACTCCTTTCTTCCTTAGAAATCTCTGCTATGATTTCATCACTAGCAATACCAGTCAGACGAACTCGACAGGCCCAGTCAGCACATCCTTTCGATGTCAATCTTGAAATATGTCGAACAACACTCTACCAAAACTCGTTCGTCTAGAGAACGGCAGAGCTTTGGAATTCTTTGCCAATACCTACCTCCTCTCCTTACCCTCCTCAGGTACGCACGATGTTCTTCGATCATCGGAATTTCATAACGTGCGATCCAAGAGATACTTTTTTATATCCTATATCTATTTCAATTGTACAATTCGATAGCCCTCACAACACAAATACATCCTAGGGACTTCCCAGGGACGTCCCTAATTTTATACTAGGACATTCCAGGGATATCCTTTGTCGGGACAGAGTACATACTAGGGACGGCCCTGGGACATCCGCTGGCCGACAAAAAAGGCATCCAAGGGATGTTCTCCTGGTACGTCCCTGGGATGTACCAAGTACGAAGAAAGGATATCCCTAGGGTCCCAGGGATATTCCAGGGATATCCCTTCGATTCGAGATTGAGCCCGGGACTTTTAGCTTATCAGGCACGCACCTTTCCCCATTTGCTAGTATGCCTTTTATTCTGAAGATTCATGTACTAAACAGACTTATAAACAGGACTAAACTATCGATACCTGAATAAATACAAATTTGTTAGGATTTGGGTATAATTATATCATTCTTGGGTGTTTAAAAATGAGGGGCATTATGCATTCACGATTTCTGTTTGCGAAAAATGGTCATTTCTTGGGAAGTTCTGAGACTTCATTCTTCTTTTTCATTACAATTATTTTCCGGAAGAAAATCAGACATTTTCAAAAAAATTCAACTCAATATTTTGATGAAATTCAATGACTCTTATGTTATTGGATATCACATATTCCAGGGACACGAATAGGATAACCTAGGGATGTACCGGGCGGGATGTCCACTGGACAACCACTGCGGGACATCCCCTGGATCCCTAATCATGTCCTTGTACCGTGGGACAAAAACGGGACGTACCTAGGACATCCCTGTGTTGTTAGGAAGTAAGTATGCCTCATTGGAACTTCTTGGATTTCAACTTCAAACTTCAATGCATTCGTTGAATTGTCACCTTGTATAATCCTGATAATGTTTCGATGGCTATAGGTATTATTTGCTTTTCGAAATGAGCACACTGCTTTTTTTTAGAGGAAACGATAAATGCACTTCTGAAACTGTCATACAAAGGATTAAGTACGTATTGTTGATATCCACTAATATCTGTATCTACATAATTTCAGATAGCTAAAGATTTGAGCATTGAAGGGATAAATATATATATATTTCGATTGCATTCATAGAATCTAGTTCATACTCTAGTTATTCGATTTTTACTTCACGACAATGGGTACGACTATAACTCAATTAGTTGTGACTACCATTTTGATTCTTGGTTCAGGGATTCTTGAAGAAGTCAAATGTACCACGGTGGAAGAATTGAAACAATTGATAGAATCTGCAACTATAAAGATGGACGCTTATGAATTCCCCACTGATGCCAGAATGTATGAGGCAAAGGATAATCAAATAATAGGTATATTTACTATTATTGCTAGAATTAATGAATCACTCATTGAAACTCTTCGTTGAAATGGTGAATCCATTATGTGATTGAAATATACGCGTTTGCATCACTCGCCCTTCAGGCTTGTGCCACAAACTTTCGCACTCGTGAGAAAAGTTTAACTTTCCCCACTTGTTGCACAATATACTATTCCCCACATGTTGCACACCATACATTTTCTACAACTGCCCTTATCCAAAGAATGCAAGTTTGTAATGTATCTAATTGTTATTTTCATTTTATAATGTGGCACTATGCCACATTGAATATTGTGACCAAAGAGTAGACGCCTTTCCTAGTTCCTCAAAGTATTCAAAAAAAGTACACTTTCCGAAAAAGATTTTATTTCTGTATTTTTTTCAGATTCCATAAATTTTTCGTGTATGCCAATTCATACTTTTTTCTTGAAATTTCTGGAAACAAATCCAATTTTCGCAGCTTTTTCCATTATCTCTGTCTCTGGCGGTGTATTTATCAAAATCGTCACATCTCGGTATGAACATCATATTATTTATTATGAATTGTTGGAATAATATTCGATGGAAACTGCGATTTCTATCAAGAGCACTAATGAGAACTACCCTGAAGAATTTCAAAAACATCTTCTGACAGTTTTGACAACTACTTATTCAAAGCTGAACACCAGCCAATTGAGTTCTGTTCGATTTTTGTTGATTCTCCATGGAAATGTATGTGGTGTTGGCAAAGTGCCGTGAGAAAAAATATTTCTCACACTATGAGCAATACATGGTTTTGAAACTAAGTGAGCTATGGAAAATGCGCTACTTTTCATAGCAGTAGTAGAAAAAATTATATGTTTCACATGGCAGCAAATGCAGATTGACTGCCTAGTAAAA